CATTTCCTTTACATTTCATAGCTTTTGTTGCCCTTTCATTAGTTTTTTTAGCTGCAAGTATTTTTGGATTATTATCTCCATCATCTTCATCATCAACAACTGGAGCAGGAAAATTTATTAAGTATGGATATTTTTCAATTACTTTTGCACACAAATAGATAACATTATCAGCATTATCAAATCCTAATAATGATGGTATAGAGAATTTTCCTTTAACTTCTAATTCATCTCTCAACATTGTAAACATATAATCATAATGTTTTGTTTCTTTCAAATTAGTGAATGTATGATCAGCTTCAAAATTATCAAGTGTATACTGCAGCTCTGTGTCAATTTTTATGTTAATTGATAATTGATGAACTTATTCTTTTTTGTTAAGATTGAATAACCAGGAAGCAATGGAACCCATACTTTGTCTTCACTTTCTAAATCAGGATCCATGCCTTTAGGGGTTTTTAGCCATAATATGTATGGACTGTTTAAATCTTGATGTACTTCCATTGCATTTCAATTGATATGAATCATCACAAACGAAAACAGATTGATTTTGTTGAGAGAACAATTTATAATTAATATTGTTTTCTGTTAGTTGTTTATACCAATATTTACTTGCTATTTTTAAATGCTAAATAAATAAATTTTATATTTTATTAATAAAGTTGGAATTTTATTACATTATATATAACTATATTCATTTTACATATATTAATATTTATATATAGTTGGCTTGGTCTAAAGACCTCCTAAATTTTGGCAAATTTTAAAAGTATAGAAGTCACTTTCTGTCCTATCTTTTAAAAAAATAGCATTATTAGTTGATAGAATAGGTCTTTAGTTTTAATGTAATAACAAGATATTCTCAAAAAAATTATTTGCTATAGAGTTCTATTCTTTTTTAAAACATGTACTTTACTATGCTTGCAAGGAATTTGACCGCTAGGATCATTACTAAATTTATACTAGTTTAATACACATCATTGCTAAATTTAGACTAGCGCATAAAAATCACATCTAAATTTGGAAGTATGGTAAATAATTCTTAAAAAATTTTAGAACCAAATCATGTGAAGACCCATTTTTGAAAATTTTATTGCATTTTTGAACGAATCACAAAATCACTATTTTTGAAATTTGGCCGCGAGGCGCAGCAATAGGAGGTCTTTAGACTAAGCCAACCATATAATAAACATAAGAAATTACAAAATTCCAGGTAAGGAATGTTAGACTTCTCCAAGTAATACTGAGAAATAAGCAGCTTTTACTAAGTAAACCAAACTTTAAACTAGTAATAATTTGAAGTGAATAACTTATATTAATGGAATAATACCTTTTACTATTGGATTAGTATTTTTTTGAAGAAATTAAAGGTTTTTACTAAATTATTTTGTTTGAAATTTTACAAGAATTCAAAGGGTTTATACACATAATCTACATACACAAAAATTTTGAACTTATTTGGACGCATTTTGCATAATTTTATTATGTAACTTGTATACAGTCAGACCTCCATAAGTGCACCCTCCATAAATGCATGCTATGTCTTGGTCCCAACCTTGGGACTTAGTGATAAATGCACACCCTCCATACTCTGCACTGCACGGTATTTTTCAGTCCGCTCATATGAAAACTCTCTCCATAAATGCACCCCACGTGACCGATGTATAAAATTCATCGTGTAACTAGGATAAATTTAGAAATCATCAACATAAATTTTTGATTTAATTGGATAATTTTAGAGGTTGGAATCATCCAAAAAATCCCAAAAATTACCAAACAATTATTTTACTCCTAAACCAAGGCTACCCAACTCACCAGATAAAACAACTTTTAATTATAACTTTCCAATCACTGAACAAAATACTGTCAATGAATTAATCAAAGAAGCAAGAAGAAAATATGAAATCACACTCTCTATTAATAAAAAATGGATAAATGATCCAAAAATAAACACTAAAAATAAACCTCTTCTTCCTAAAAACATCAAGGAACTGGATGTTCAATTCATGTTAGATGAAGAAAAAATTCTGCCTATTACAAACAAAACTAATATAAGAAATATAGTAATAAAACTAAGTAAAAAATATTTCTTTGAAAGGATCCCTGATGAGTGGATATCAATAGAAAAGGCAAATGACAACATTGATACATCTGTTTTAGAAAATGATACCAAAATTATAATACCAAACATAGAAAAAAAAACAGTTACCTGATTTAACAATAACAACACTAAGGTTTCTGGCCAAAATTGCTTCTATTAGTAGCCGAAATTGCCCAAATTCTTTAGGCAAAAATTATTTTTTTATAAGCCCAAACTACTTTTTGTTATTAGCCGAAATTGGGTGAAATTATTTTAAAGCTGTTTAAGTTAAAACAAGTTGATTCATATAGTTTTTTAATGTTCATGCTTATAAAGAATGTTGAGAGGCCCAAATTGCCCAAACTAGTTTGGGCTTTGAGAAAACAGTTTGGACCAGAAACCTTAAACAACACAAGAAATTAACAATTATAACATAGAAATTACAATACCTATTACTGATGACAAAAAAATTTATCAAACAACCCAAATCTTAAAAAAACTTTACATCTTCAAATACCTCCCAGACACATTTATTAATCTTCCACCAATCCAGATCCAGGCTGGGATTCAATTATTTTCTAATGTACAATCAACAAAATCTAACAAATTAAACAACAATCAACCACTATTATCACACACAAATGATATATCAAATACATTTTTTAAAACATTAACAGAACACAACATAAAAGACATTGAAAAAATATCTAAAATTAAAATAGCAACACAAAACTTAAATGGACTTAAAGGTATACACAAACAAACCAATTTCTATAATGAACTAATAAAATTAAACATTGACATTTTTGGATTATCTGAAATGCATCTTTAAATCAAGAAGCAAGATATAGTGAAATACAAAAGCTTACACACAACAAAGAAAATTATCAAAGTTATTGGAGCAACAGCCAAAATGCATATGGTAATGCCAATAAAGGAGGGTTTGGTTTTATTATTAAAACAGAAACAGCTAAATATATTGTTAAAGTCCCAAAATATTCATCCCACTTAATATGTATTACTCTTTTATTTAAAAGATTAAAGTTAAATATAATACAAATCTACATACCCACAAAAGAAAAAAAAGGAGGAAAGGAAAAAAACTATAGATACCATAATTGAATGGATAACACATAATAATGATAATAAAACTCTCACAATTATAATGGGAGACTATAATGCAGTATATAACCCATCAATAGATAGAATTCCAAATTGAAAAAAGAATTTAATCTTCTAAAATACCTCAGTAACAATAATTTCATAGATATATATAAGCTACAATCACTTCAAGATTATACATGAGGTCGAAATTAAAACCCCAAAGCCAAAATGTTTCAACTTGAAGCAACTACATAGTAAAAATCAGTTTCAACCTTATTTCGACCCTATTTCAACCAGATCTGCAAATGGTCAAAATAGTTTTGACTTCATGTATATTCAAGATACCCCACACACATGGAAAAGATCAAATTCAAGCAGTTGTATTGATATGATATGGATCAGTAAGGAACTCATGGGAATGATACAAAATATATTACCACCAACAGAAACATCTATTAAATCAGACCCTAAATTACTACAATATTCACTCATTATAATAAAAAAACAATGGACAGATGACTCAAATTACAAAAGGAAAATATTTGACTGGAATAACACAGACATACTTCAACAAAGAACTGACAAATAAAATAGCAAATAAAATAATAACAAATTACACAAATTGCAATCATTTATCAGACATGGACTACATCAACAGTCTATGGCTAGAGATTTCCGAAGCATTCATAGTGCCAGCAAAAACATATTAAAATAAAAATCATCAAAAAACACACATTCATCTATAAGAACATAGCTCACATTTCAAACAAATCAATAATTTAAGGAGAATACAAAGATTAGACAATAATTCTGATATTTTCATAAATTTAAAAAATTTGAAGATCATATCTTCACATTGTTATTAAAACATTATTTCATTGAATCAAAAACAAAAAACATTATTAGAAATAAAAGATAAAATTGAAGAGATAAAGATTTCCACATAAATCAAGATGCTTCTTCTCCAACATACTGGAAAAAATCAAAAAATCAATAACCATTGATTGTATAATTGAAGATGAATCAATTAATAGAGATCAAAAAAGTATAAAAGAAACATTGAAAAGTCATTTTCATGACTATTTTAATAAAAATAGCAACATATCACCTATTAACTCAAACCAGTTTTAAGAAACATATGAACCATTCAATGATCCATCTATCTTAATGAACATTTTAAATCCACCATCACTTTAAGATATTGAAAGGGTCATAAAACAGCTACCAAAGAACAAAGCAGCAGGTCAATCCAATTTAAACTATGAACATTTCATACATGCAGATAGAGAAATACACAAATTGATACTGAACCTCTTTTCTAAAGTCCCAACAACCAAAAAAAATCTAGATAAATGGAAGATGTCTTATCTATACCCAATACCAAAAAAGGAAGACTGGGAATATGACCTAAACAAAACTAGACCTATAGTTATAATGGAACCATGTAAAAAAATACTAACCAAGCTGATCACAAATAGATTAGAAGAAAAAAATAAGAAATTTTAATTTATTGAATGGCCACAACTTTGCAGCTGAAAAATATACATCCACAATAACACCAATACAAATTCTTAACAATACCATAGAACATGTCAATCAACATAAAATACCTTTATACATTTTTTTTCGAGACATGTCAAAAGCTTTTGATAATGTAGACCATCAAAGACTTAAAATAGCATTAAAATGTATCAACTTACCTCAAAATTTTATAGACTGGTATATATACCTACTGACTGACTGACAAACTAGAATTATAACACCATCAGGACTAATAGAGCCAATAACCATTAAATCAGGTATTGAACAAGGTGATCCACTCTCACCAATTATATGGAAAATATTTTACGACCCTATTTTAGCACATATTACCAATAATTATGAAACAGACCTGTTAACTATTAAAACAACTTCACCTGAACAAATAAATATGCCAAATAATCATCATAGTATATCCACAAAAATCCACCTTTAGCTTTCATGGACAACACAATCTTTATTAGTAAATCAAAGGAAGGAATAGAAAGAATTGCATCTGCTGCAAACCACTTGTATAAAATTAATAATATAAAAGTTAATTGGAACAAATCAGACCTGCTAATCATCAATAACACTAGATGATAGCACAGTTATCCAACAAGTATCAAAAGGCGATACCTTGGCATATATATTGATGGCAATTGATCAACAAAACCAACCAAACAAAAAATTTTTGATAAAATCTCACACTTTAACAATTTATTAATGTTCAAAAAAGTAAAACCAGACCAGTTGTCATGCCTATTTAACAAATGTCTCAATCCTATTATAGAATACTTAATGCAGATTATAACATTTAATAAAAGAGAAATGAAGAAGCTGGAATCTTCTTACATTAGTATATTGAAAAAGAAACTTAACTTATCAAAAAATACACCTAATGAAACATTATGCAATACATCCACATTCAACTTCACATCACCAAAAAACCTATTATGTATAACCAAAAGCAATTTAAAAAAATAATTTTTGCCCAAAGTATTTGGGCAATTTCGGCTACTAATAGAAGCAGTTTCGGCCAGAAACCTTAGTCACACAAAATAACATCAAAAATTGGCAGACAATGCTAATGTGCAAAAATCTAATAAAAGAAAAAAATTTCAATATCTCATTTTGAAAAAGTCACTAGTTTCAAAAATAATAAAGGTGATCTTCTTAACAAACAAGCTGATAAATTAGCAAAAGAAGGGCATAATATTGATCCTATAACATATAATTATGATTCAATCAAAAATTTTACTGAAGCTAAATGGAATGGGTATGAAATTCCTGTCAAAACTAAGGTCATTTGCCAAGAGAATTGCACAATCCAAAAGCATATTTAAATGGATTAATAGAAAGAATGTCAGAAGCACCTTTAGATTTTGGGAACATTTTTGGATGTCTTTCAACTCTAAATATCACAAGGAAAACAAAAATTTACTCACTTTCTAAGGTTGTGGACGAAACCTCCTTAGTAATTGCTAAAACCATGGCAAAACTATATTAAATCTTATCAAAAATCCTGTTGAAGCTATGCTGAAATGGCTAAATCTCAAAATGCAAAACTCTGCCAAAACTCTAATAAACAATTAATGTGTAACCTGCTGAAACCCTGCTGATTGATTTCCAGAGGAGTTTTGACAAGCAACCTTATCACTTTCAAAATAAAAACCATCTCAAACCTACTACCTACATTATCAATTCTCAATAAAAGGAAACCAGAAATATACAAATCAAATATATGTATCAAATGTAAGTCTAAAATAGAAACCACTGAACATATAATTATATGCTATCCCTTAAACTGTCCACATTTTCGAATAAAGGAATTTCGAAAAATTTATTGGTAAATTACAAAATTTCACCAATCAAAATTAACCAAATCGCACAATAAAAAATTTTATTATCGCTTAAATTCAACAAAATTCCGTCCATATATGGACGGAATTTTGGTGCAACTTCATACCCCCCCCAGATCAAAAAATATACTAATAAACTATTAATTTTTTTGATTTTTTTTGGGAAACTTTTGTCAGTAGTGACATAAATGCATTTTGAAAATGCTAAAAATTTAATCAATTTTTGTAGTTGTTGTTATCCGGAAAATTTACCACATTGATGTCACATAAATAAGCATTAAATATGTGATCAAGCATGTTACAATTAATAAATTTACTTAACAAAAAGCCACTTTGTAATACAACTTCTGATTTTTATATATGGTAAAAATTTTGTATAATTGTTGTACAAGAGTAAATAAATAAATAAAAAATGAAAAAAATTAAACAGTGTGATATCTTAAGAAACAATTTCTATCTGATGTACAACATAAAGAAACATTACAAATGGTACACCAAATAAAAGAATAATTCTCAATTTTCACTGATTTTTCTTCAACCTGCTGTCTTTCATACTTACATAATACACATGCAGCTCTTTTATCTTTATGTTCTGGGAGGTGTTTTCCAGTTGCAAGCCTTTCCAATGATAGAATTGATTTGGATGTTATATAAGTTCGTTTTGATAATGATGAATGTGATGAAAAACTAGAATGGGTACAAGTATAAACTTTTCTAATCCTGCTTTAACTAAATCCCATACTAGGTTCATTCTAAAATTTTTACGAGTAATTTTATTATTGTAACTTTGCTTATAAATTATATATGAATTAATTATTGCAGTATCCAGAAGCCAGAAAAATAAGGGCATCCAAGTTCTTCTGACTTTTTGTTGTGTGGAATAATAACTTCTTAATTGGTCAGCAATATCTACACCTCCCATGAATAGATTATAATCATTGATGATTTTTGGTATAGGTAATAATTTTTTTGTCTCATTGCCAAATACATCTCTTACTTTAACTGCATTAGTACTAGTTTTACAAGGATGACGCTGAAGTTTATATATTCTATTTTCATTACCAACAATATTATGTATTGTGGATAACATTGTTACAGGGCCATTATCAATCCACAATACCACCAATACATCATCTAGAACAATGCCAGAAAGGGTATCCCAATCTAATTTCTTCTTTCCTATTTTAAGAGCTGATGGAAATCTTGAAGAATTAGTACGAA